ATCCCGTATCCCAGCCCAAATCCCGTATCCCAGCCCGAATCCCGTATCACAGCCCGAATCCCGTATCACAGCCCGAATCCCGAATTCCGGCCCGAATCCCAGCCCAAGCCCGAATCCCAGCCCAATCCCGAATCCCAGCTCAATCCCGAATCCCAGACCAATCCCGAATCCTAATGTTTGGGCGGGATTTTGGATTCGTTTGAACTTTTCGAAAAATTTCAAAAACAAAATGAGCGGGAATTCATAAGATTTGAAAACTAAATTTTTTACACGATGGCAGTCTTTGTGCTGTTACCCTGGCCAATCCCCATTTCTGTGCACACATCTATAAATACCGCCATATTTTTCAAATTTTAAAATCACTATTAAAGCTTCCAAAATTCAAAAATGAGTCACTATCAAAGGAACAGTTTCCAGATGGTGAAGATGAATCAAAACAACAAACATCGCATGATGGATCGCTCTCCGCCACTTCCACAAGTCCTGAAGAAGGTTCCTTCACGTTCAGGTTATGGCTGAGGTCGAGAGCAGAATCCAATCCCTCCCCCGGCCCATTTCCCTCTGGAGCCGGCCGTTCTCCCTCCGCCGGCCGATTTCCCTCTAGAGCGGGCCGTTCTCCCTCTGCCAGCCGATTTCCCTCTGGCACTGGCCGTTCTCCCTCTGCCGTCCAATTTCCCTCTGGCGCTGGCTGTTCTCCCTCTGCCGGCTGATTTCCATCTGGCGCCGGCCGTTCTCCCTCCGCCAGCCGATTTCCCTCTGCGCCGGCCGATCTCCCTCTGACGCCGGCCGATCTCCCTCCGCTGGCTGTTCTCCCTCCTCTGGCCGATCTCCCTCCGCTGGCCGTTCTCCTTCCGCCGGCCGATTTCCCTCTAGCACTGGCCGATTTCCCTCTGGCACTGGAGGAGGGAGATCGGCCAGAAGATCGGCCAGTTCAGGGAGATCGGCCAGAGGAGGGAGATCGGCCAGAGGTGGGAGATCAGCCAGAGGTGGGAGATCGGCCAGCGGAGGGAGATCGGCCAGCGGAGGGAGATCGGCCGGCACTAGAGGGAAATCGGCCGGCGGAGGGAAAACGGCCGGCGCCAGATGGAAATCAGCCGGCGGAGGGAGAACGGCTAGCGCCAGAGGGAAATCGGCCGGCGGAGGGAGAACGGCCGGTGCCAGAGGGAAATCGGCCGGCGGAGGGAGAACGGCCCGCTCTAGAGGGAAATCTGCCGGCGGAGGGAGAATGGCCGACTCCAGAGGGAAATTGGCCGGCAGAGGGATTGGATTCTGCTCTCGACCTCAGCCGTAACCTTAACGTGAAGGAACCTTCTTCAGAACTTGTGGAAGTGGCTGAGAGCGATCCATCATGCGATGTTTGTTGTTTCGATTCATTTCACCATCTAGAAACCGTTTCTTTTCCTTTGATAGTGACTCATTTTTGAATTTTGGAAGCTTTGATAGTGATTTTAAAATTTGAAAAATATGGCGGTATTTATAGATGTGTGCATAGAAATGGGGATTGGCCAGGGTAACAGCACAAAGACTGCCATTGCGTAAAAAATTTAGTTTTCAAATCTTTTGAATTCCCGCTCGTTTTGTTTTTGAAATTTTTCGAAAAGTTCAAACAAATCAAAATCCCGCCCAAACATTAGGATTCGGGATTGGTCTGGGATTCGGGATTGGGCTGGGATACGGGATTCGGGCTGGGATACGGGCTTCGGGATTTGGGCTGGTTGCCAGAATAGTAATTGTCCCGGCGATCTTTCCGGCGTGCAAGTGACGGAAAGATCACCGTTGACCGGCAAAAAAAGAAAGAATGAAAAAAAAGTTTTTCCGAGATCTTTCCGGCGGGAGAGTGTCGGAAAAATCCGTCGATCGGAAAATCGAGAAAAAAATGAAAAAAAAAGTTTTTTTAAATACCTGGATGATGATCTTTATGGTGGTTTGTGCAGATCAAAAACCACCACACTTCCCTGAAACGATTTCATTCTTGTTTCCATTTTGGTTTCCCTAAGAAAAGGAATTGATGTTTCAAAGAGTACCCCCGATCCAGAAAATGAGATTGGGGGGAGAACAAATCAAGAAAAGGAGAGATATCTGTAAGGAAGAAGATGAAAGAAATGAAAAAAAATAAAGTGATATAGAGAGAGAGTGGGTGGGTGGGGGAGGAACCAGACGGAGTAGACAAAGATGGAGAAAGGGAGGAGATATATAGGAACAGGGAGGAAGAACTGAGATAAAGAAACCCTAACAAGCCATTGGGTGGACGGACAGCTCTTAAGCGTCAATGTCATTATTATTTATTTACGGAGAAGGGAGAACTGCCCCTTGATTTTCTCCCCGAAACCGCTTTGACAACCACGCCCAATTAAATTAACCCATCGCGTCTTTTCGGACTCCTTTGAGATCCACGCCAAAACACACACCCCAAATATGCCAGTGAAAATCCCTTAGTCAAAAAATGTTAAAAGTCATAAATCAATTTGTTTTTAAATAAATTAAACTTAAAAACATTTGATGTATTACGGAGTATATCTTAAAATTATGTAAATTACCCTATACTCCCTCCGTCCCTAAATGGATTACAATTTTTTTCTCTCTTCTCGATAACTTTTGTTTATTTACGCGATTTCATAAAATAAAATATTCTTATCACCTCTTGTTTTGTAGAACTTTTCACGTAGTTTTGTAATATTTAATTATTATATCTTATTTATATACCAATTTGTAAATAAAATGATTTCAAAAAATAGGAAATTTTACTCCGTAACCCGCAATTTGTAATCAAATTGGGGACAGAGGGAGTATTATTTTCGAATTAGAATGTTTAAATACAGATTCACTCCTTATTAAATTTGATAGAATAACAATTTTATTACATTTATCAGCCACTTTGGCCATATAAATTTTTTAGAACATTTAACTATTTAGGGTCTCTTTTTTTAGGGATAGAAAAAAAAGAGTAATGCTAGGGGTACACCAAAAGTGTACCCCAAATGTACACCATCTCTTTTCCTCCACACATTTTTATTTGATTTTTATTTACTTATTTTTTTTGAATTTTTTTGCCTTTTTTAGTGGACAAGGAGGGGGTGGGGGACATTTGGAGTACACCTTTGGTGTACCCCTAGCATTTTTCAAAAAAAAAAAAGTTGAATGTTGAGTTTAAATATTCTCTTTTCTTATTTTTTTTACTTAAATTAACTTTAGATGTCCCCTTTTCTTATTTTACACTAGACTGTGTGTTATGGGGACTCACCCATGGACATGAAGAGGCATCATGCCCCGTCATAGCGGGCCATCGCAACATCGTAGGCTTGACAGAGGCATGACGTGCTGTTCATGGCTTCACGGGTGTTGCTCCACTTTTTCTTTTTTTTTCTTTTTTATTTAAATCTAATAACAATTTAATGCACATTACCCATCATCGCTTCTCATTACGCCTACCATGACACATACTTTTTTTATCAATCCACATCATACATCTTTACACCCCGTCAAGTCTCTCCTCAAGCCCGCCATAACACATGGACTTAGGCCCCGTTTCGTTCAAATCAGATCAGATTCAATCAGATCAAATCCAATCTGATCAAATCTAATCTGATCAGATCAGATCCAACTAGATCAGACCAGAGCAGATCAGATCCTATCAAGAATTATTATTATTATTATTAAAAATGAAAAATAATAAACTTTAGAGACATGTTAAATAGAAAACTGAAAAAGTAATCCTTAATTATTAGAAGTCATAAAAATTATTTTTAAAATACATTGACAATGTCAATCTAATTCTACTTTTAAAATAAATTTTTATTGCTACTTGTAATTTGAGTTTTTCTAAAATTTTGATCTTTTATAAGGATGAGATATTTTAATAAAAATATAATCTCTTCTATATTTTGATCATCTAAATTTAATTACTTTTTAAATGTATATATGAAGTAATTATTAAAATATTAAATTAATATTCTAATTACAAAAAAAATAATCATAAAATAAAAATATTATTACATTATAATATGAATGATTATTCTAATATATGAATTAAGTAATTTTATTTTATTAAAAAAATCATAAAATAAAAAACATTGATTATATTAAAATATGAATTATCATTACAATTTTCAAACGTTATTGTAAAGTCAAATCAAATTATTGATTTGAATTTTAAATCAAATCATAATTAATCAGATCAGATCTAATCAAATCAGATCAGATCAGAACGACCCGATCAGATCAGAACTACAAAAAATCAGATCAGATCAAAAAAAATAAGTTGAACGGAACGGAGCCTTAGGAGTAAATTTGTAGAGTTATAACAAATGGTGTTGATTTAACCAAAATAAGGATTGATTTATCGACACCTTTATATTAAATTTACGTTATAACTAAACATACTTTTTCTATAAATTATAATCAATGTTAAGACAGATAATTTGGAACAATTGATGTTCTTTTGGTATTATTTTACTCTGTGTATTTATTATTATTATTATTATTGAGGAGGATAAAAGTTTTGCTGTTTGTGATCACAAGTGTATCACTGTAACTAGAAAGTAATAAACTTTCTCCCTTGAAGTCTTGATCTTCGACCAGTAAAATATATATACCCGACAACAAAAACTTATTTTTGTGTAATTTTTTTCGTGTTAAAAATAAAAATGCTTTCTGGAATCTGGATGCATTAGTCATGTTTTGCGTTTATCTTTAAATATTTATAATGTGCTTTGATTCTAGGCCACAAGTGACTCTAATACTCATAGTAAGGAAAGGGAAGGTACTATCAGGGGAGTTTGCCTTCTGAACGGAAATCTCGTGTACAAATTTAACACTCACATTTTATGTACTCACTCCGTGCCAGAATCAGGTCACAATGCAGAATCTGGGTGGGCACAAAAGTTAAGGATGTGAAAACTGTTTGTTGATATTTGTGTAGAGAGAGATAATATGAATCTCGTATTTCTTCTCCTAAAGGTAATGAAACGTAATTGAAAAATTTAACATAATTTTGGGAGAATATCATTTTAAGTATCGTGAACTTAAGGCATACTTTTTTTACACCATTTTAAATTTGGCAAAATTTTATCACCATTTTTTGAACAACTGCTTTTGTGATATATTTGCCTTGGGAAGTTGGTTTCCCTCCAATCTTGACGTTTCAGACTTTCCTGAATTCTCAATCATGTGCTTCCATTATATCTTTTTGCACAACCTGCTGACCTTCATATTATGGATTGATACAGAATTGCAGTAACAACAATTGGATGCCTACCTGATCATAAGTAGATTAGATATACTCTCTCAAAAATATTTTTCTTTTATTCTTTAAAAGTATACACAGAAGTCTGAAAGGTTATATTTGGTTTAAGGAGAAGTCTTTAAGATATAATGTCATCTGTATTGGGTTTAGGGACTTAAGGGAGAAGAGATTGGGTCTCCCAATGGCTTCACCAAAGATACCTATTAGGGTTAGTCCCTATTTTAGCCTCACCCAATGGATCCCTTCTGTCCTTTTTGGTTCTTTTTCTCCGTATAAAAGACAGCCATCATACTCTACCAATCACTGCACACCTTTAGCCTCTAGAAACATGCCCATAGCATAGTTGGCAATAGCTTTTGCATTACAGTCTTAATCTACATTTTTTTGCCAGCCCTTGAGATAAGTCTGTTCCTCCCGGAGTTGAAGTGCTAGCCAACTTTATCTTTAACAAAAGAGAAAAACCTCTTCTTTATACGATCGATGATGGAATGAAGACCAGGATAGGTTCCATGGTCTATGCAAACAGTAACATTTAGGAGCCTGCATATGATTTGATTAATTTCAGGGCCAGCAGTGTAAGGTCTGAAGCACACCCCACCTGGATTTATTGAAATTGATCAGCTGCCTCGAAGCTCTAGCATAGGTAATGAGCAGGTCTTTAACCTTGATACTCTTCACTGATTCACTCAGATTTTGGGACATAATCATAATCTGGATAGTAATCATTCAGCGTTTTCTTTGAAAAATAGGCCATTGTCGACCACAAGGCCAGTCCTAAATTGTCCTTGTCACTGCAAAAAGTAATCGTCTAAAATTTATAGAAGCATTTTTAGGACACTTGCATTAGCTTTGCTTTGATGTTAACCAACCTTTATTTACTACACTATACTCCCTCCTCCCGATATCTGTATCCCCGGTTTTGTTTAGATGGCCGTCCACTATCTTCCAATTTGAGAAAATGGAAACCAAATAAAGAGTAAATGACTCTTTTTCCCTTTCAACATTAAAGACCACCCATCCCATTTCTTCTTTCAAGTACTACATGAGCCTGGAAGCAGAAACAACGGCTACCGGAAGGAACTCCTGATCTAAAGGGAAATGGAAGCAACTCCTCTATCGTCTTAATATTGAAACAACATCAGACTGAGAAGAGTGATTGATGCAGGCACGGCTACACAAGCTAGAGTCTGGTGTTGCCATCGGAGAAGAAAGCCCACCTCGCACTCCCTAAAATCCCCCATCGCAATATGTGTTTGAAACAAATAGGACTATATTTAAGAGAGGCCCTGAGCACAAAAGATAAAGAGAAAAGATGGGAGGAAGTCCCCTTGGCAAACAGATGAGCATAACATTACTCCACTGTCCTCTGGTCACTCATGTCTGGAATCTGGATCTATTTTGCCTCAACCATTAATGGGACTTATGATACACAGATGAGCAACGTCAAACAACACTGCTTCATGTGGTTAAGCCTAAATATTTCAAAAGTTTGAAACTTTTCATAAGAAGTTGATGCATTTGCACATGTTAGTTACTGATATGGTATTTGCTAATTGTGCTTTCCCTCCAAAATAGGAATACGTGACATCTATTTTCAAAACCTGGATTTGGAGAAAGTGATCCTTATCACAAAAAGGAGTCTTGAGTCATCATCAATGGACATGCTGCACTTATCATCTTTCATATGCTGTGAATGTTAACTGAAATTTTAGGTGGTGGTCGGATTCTCTAGTGCAAGTAGCAAGGCATGCCTGGGTTTATTTAATATTCCTCATAAGATTGCTGGTATGTAATCTGAACATGTGTGTGATAACTTATGATGGCATAAGTTCTTTTTCATTTGATTTAAATGCTTAAAATGTTCTTTTTTGAGAGCACCAGTCTCTAAAAATATGCACTAAAAATGTTTTTTTAACTAGGGTGAAAAGCACTTTTTTCTGAGTATTTTCTATGTATTTTGCCAAATGATTCATTTACTAGGAAGAATTGACATTATACAGTGCATCATACACATCGGTTTTTTGGAAAGTTCTGTCTTAAACCAAGAGGATTCAAATGCCAAATCGGGTGAAATTAGGTGTCGGTTCAGTGGTGGCTGCATCTGAAATAAAGTACTGAAGCACAGTGTAATAAAAAATAGGTAATAATTTACGGTATGTAATGAACAATCCCTAATTTCATCTCCCTTTTATTGAATTCCAATTTTTAGGGGTTTGTGAAATTGTGGTTATTGATTGTATTTGGATAGTTTGTTGGTATTTGATTGTTGGATACTTTGATATTTGATATTTAGTAATTAATTCTTTTATATAGTGATAATTTATTGTTGGAATTTGTCAATATGGGATTTAATTCCTGGGTCTTAAAAGGAATGATAATCTGGTATTAGATTGAAACTTGTCAATTTGAGGACGTGTTCTAATTTTCCTTACAAACTTCCACCCGATTCTTCTTGAACTTTTCATGGAATATCATCTGAGCTTTTACATGGATTTAACAATCTGGAATGGTTTTGACTATTGCAGAATCTGAGGTGCATATCTTGTTTATATTAGCAGTATTAACTATTAACTTTTATGTTTTATTTTGTCGTGTGGCTCTAATTCATCTCCCTCGTTCCTATAAGATTGTACTGTTTTCTTTGCAGCATTTGAACAAATGAGTATGAACATGAGGTCCCTATTTAGTACTTTTAAGTATTTCAAATGCTTGTGTTTGCAATCACATTGATATTTGATATGACCTACCCTAACGGGTTGTGCTATATGGTACAATGGCTTGCTAGTGGACAAGTTTTTTTCATTCTTCTTTGGCAGAATGGATTGGTCATTAGTACTTTTTTGGGAAGTATACTTCTTTGGTCATCAGCACAGAGTTTTTTATTGCCTTCCGATGGGCTTTTTGGATTAAACTGGTTGCATTGGTTTCGCATTCAAGATGATAGGCAAAGAAGCTTCTCTTCCGATGAACATACTGCTGTATATTCATTTATATATGGGATCTATATTTCAGTATCTCCCTTTTTCTGTTTCTTCATTTTTCTTTTATACTTAGAATGAACATGGGGCTCTGATTTGGTTTACACTGTCTAAACAGGGGTGATTTTTCTCCCCACAGGGCAATGCTTTCGTCTGATGCATAAGTTATTCAGGATTTAAATTAAAGAGTCAATTTGGCCTGACTAGACAGTAGGGAATTCAAATTTAGGTGGCTAGCCTTGTTGGTTTTTGCTAAGTTCCTCTTGTTCTTTGATACTATATGTTAGGGGTTAAGGTTTGCATGCCTTTAAATTTCGTGAGACTCACTATTGTGTTTGATTTACATGATAATTTGGTTTGTTTGGTTTATACTGAGGTAACGTGTATTTTTTTCCTAAAATTTGCAAAGGTTGAAGATGCTGCGAAGAAAATGTAGTGCATTGGTGATTGTTTACAAAATGTAGTGTATATTTCAAGTTTTAGAGGCCCGGGGGATAGAGTGCATAACAGTCCATTTGAAAAAGACTGATTCTGCTGAAGCTCTCTTTCAAGCCTGACGAATTCACTTCCTGCAATAACAGCACAAATACACCTGCCAAAGAAAGCCCAACCTAGGATCACATACACACAAATAAGGGTAACGTGTGCGTACACTCCCAAGATTCTACTGGGCTTGTTGTGTGTGTGGGTAGAGGATCCTCTTTCCAGCCGGTACAGTCTACCGTGTCAAACGTGTTGGGGTATCCCTCCTACATGGAGGAAGGAGTTCCTAAACAATACATTTAGTGTTAAAAATGTAATTTGTTTAGAGGTGAGGTAATATAATAATAATAATAATTATTATTGTTATTATTATTATTATTATAAAAGAAAACAAAAAAAAAGGAGTCAAAGTGGGGCTGCCAATTTTTTGAAAGGCAATAGCCTTTTGTGGCTGGTCACGGGCAGGAAAGAACAAGGCAGAAAACAGAGAAGAAAAGAGAGTAAAACCGAGAGAAGGAAGAAGAGAGAAAAAGAGAGGTGCAGCCTGGTTTTGTGCTCCGATCGACGACCAAACGAGCTCCGATCAGGATGAAATTTTAGTATGTTTTTCCTGAGATCCTCTTCTTCATATCCAACGGTGGGATTGTTGTTTTGACCTCTCGATGTCGGTAAAATTGCCTCTGTTTACTGCTGCAATTTTATTGGGGATTTCTCACTTTTGAGTGAAGATTATTGTTGTTTGGTGTTCCAAGTTGTTGCTTGATGATTGTGTATACCTCTAATTGATTTATAGAGGATTCTTGGTGTACCCACTGATTTTCTTGGTGATTAGTGGAAGGCTTCGTGGTTTTTTCCCCGATTTGGGGTTTCCACGTTAAATCTTGGTGTTCGTTTATCGTTTGATTGATTGCTTGTTGACGTGTTTACTATTCGTGATCGGTCATATGATTTTTGCCCATTTTGACAACACAAAGACGATAAAATTATTAATTGCTTCCGCTAGAAAATTGAGGTGATTTTCCCAACAATTGGTATCAGAGCTTGAGTTGTACTTTTGGGTGATTTTCTTGTGTTGTTAAAATGGAGGATAAAGCTGTTTTTGGGGGAATGATTAAATTGAACTCCTCCAATTATCAAAGTTGGAAACCTAGGATGGAAGATATTTTATATATTAAGGATTTGCATGAACCGATATTGAATAAGGAGATGCCAAACGGTAAACAAGAAAGTACTTGGAAATTGCTTAATCGGAAAACTGTGGGAATGATTAGGCAATTTATTGATGATAGTGTGTTTCAGCATGTTGCTATTGATACCAACGTCTATAAACTGTGGGAGAAACTCAAATGCATGTATGAGAGAGAAAATGCCTTGAATAAAGCCTCTATTATGAGAAGACTTGTGAAACTTGATTACAGGGATGGGCATAGTGTGGTAGAGCATTTGAATGATTTTCAGGGATTGATTAGCCAGTTGTCTTCTATGAAATTGGTTTTAGATGATGAATTGCACGCATTGTTGCTCCTCAGCTCGTTGCCAGAAAGCTGGGAGACCTTGGTTGTATCACTTAGCAATTCTGCTCCAGAGGGTAAGCTCACAATGGATGTTGTGAAGTCGAGTTTGCTGAACGAAGAAGCTAGGAGAAGAGATATGAGTTCCTCCAGCTATTCAGATCAGGCTCATGTTGCTGAGGTAGAGAGTCGTGGAAGACACAGACATAGAGACTTTGAATCCAGGGGGAGATCTAAATCAAGAAGCGAAGTGAAATGCTTCTATTGTGATAAACCGGGTCATAAGATATCTCAGTGCAGGAAGATGAAGAGAGATAAAGCCCGGCAGAAAGAGGAAAAGGGTCAGACTTCTGAGAAGAAAGAGGAGAAAGACACAGCATCCCTTGCAGATGCGGATGATTTATTCTTCGTGTGTGATGACACTAACTTTGATGTTGCTTTTCAGGATTGCACTTGGATTATTGATTCAGGTGCCTCATGTCATCTCACACCTCATCGGGAGTTCTTCTCATCTTACACTGGCGGTGATTTTGGCTATGTAAAGATGGGAAAGGGTGACAAATCATCTAAGATTGTTGGGATGGGCACTGTTTGTTTGAAGACCAACACTGGTTGCAGGTTGACCCTCAGAGATGTCAGACATGTTCCAGAGTTTCGGTTCAACCTCATTTCAGCTGGAGGACTTGACGGAGATGGCTATGTTAGCCGCCTTGGTGAAGGAAAGTGGAAGCTCACCAAAGGTTTTTTGATCGTGGCCCGAGGTAAGAAAGAGAACAGGCTTTACGTGATGCAAGCAAAGATGTGTAGAGGAGATCAGAACACTGCGCCCTCCACGGATTTATCGCACAAGAGGCTTGATCACATGATTGAGAGTTGTCAGAGTATCCTCCCTGAAGACGACATTCCTTTTCCTACCATTCAATCAGATCATGGGGGAGAAGATGGAGAGCAATGTTGTGGTGATGATGTTGCTCGTGATAGTGATGTACTTGAGCCACCTCATATTGAGCATGGAGTTCCGCCACAGAGGGATCCTCAAATGGAAAAATTTGAGAGAGTTTGCTACCGGGAAGAAGTGATGAAGGTGCACCCATGGTTTCAAGCCAAGCGAGATGGAGTTATATCCTTGCTTGATGGACGTGGTCATCCCCTGGTAAAGTTGCATGGAAGCAAGCGAGCACCCAAGAGAAATCGGGTGTTCAAGTTGAAGAGAAGAGAGTGATGCTCACAACCTACGGATTTGGCGCAGTTGGTTGTGAAAGGTTTGTTTGATATTTATCACCATTGAGTTTTACCCCCCATGTAGGAGTGAGGGGGAGATTTGTTGGGGTATCCCTCCTACATGGAGGAAGGAGTTCCTAAACAATACATTTAGTGTTAAAAATGTAATTTGTTTAGAGGTGGAGTAATATAATAATAATAATTATTATTATTGTTACTATTATTATTATTATAAAAGAAAACAAAAAAAAAGGAGTCAAAGTGGGGCTGCCAATTTTTAAAGGCAATAGCCTTTTGTGGCTGGTCACGGGCAGGAAAGAACAAGGCAGAAAACAGAGAAGAAAAGAAAGTAAAACCGAGAGAAGGAAGAAGAGAGAAAAAGAGAGGTGCAGCCTGGTTTTGTGCTCCGATCGACGACCAAACGAGCTCCGATCGGGATGAAATTTTAGTATGTTGTTCCTGAGATCCTCTTCTTCATATCCAACGGTGGGATTGTTGTTTTGACCTCTCGATGTCGGTAAAATTGCCTCTGTTTACTGCTGCAATTTTATTGGGGATTTCTCACTTTTGAGTGAAGATTATTGTTGTTTGGTGTTCCAAGTTGTTGCTTGATGATTGTGTATACCTCTAATTGATTTAGAGAGGATTCTTGGTGTACCCACTGATTTTCTTGGTGATTAGTGGAAGGCTTCGTGGTTTTTTCCCCGATTTGGGGTTTCCACGTTAAATCTTGGTGTTCGTTTATTGTTTGATTGATTACTTGTTGACGTGTTTACTATTCATGATCGGTCATATGATTTTGCCCATTTTAACAACACAAAGACGGGAAAATTATTAATTGCTTCCGCTAGAAAATTTAGGTGATTTTCCCAACAAAATGGTAGGTGTTACCGTGTCGGAACTATTGTACTGTCACAGATGCAGTTTCATTCACCTTTTCAATGTTCGCCTCTTTCTGTAGACTTTGAGCAATATGCCATGATCAATTTCATTTACAAAATGTAGTGTATATTTCAAGTTTCAATTCAATCTCATGCATATTTTGTTGCGCCTGTTATATAGCCTGGGCTAACACATACAGTATATTTAAAAAAAAAAAAATACTCCATATTAGCGTTCTATAGTACCAGGCTAACAGTTTAATTACACCGATTGATTATTGGGAAGCAGTTGTTGATCTCATGCAAAAATTGAAAAGTACATTATTTGAACTTGGAGTTTCAAAAGAAGTAAGCAATCACCATGTTACTTGATTTTCTTGAGCCGAAAAATGACATTCTCTCTGTCCATAAATTAAATATTCTTCTTTAATTTTACAAGCAAATTAATAAAGAATAAAATATGTTAATTTTTCATATTTGTCCTTAGTTAATGGAAAAAAGTGAAATAAATGTAGGGATAGCAGGATAAGTAGTAATTAGTACTCAGTATGAGTGTGAGGGTAGTAATATTGTTTAAAGAAAAAATATTTACTAAAAAAAGGAAGTGAGAAGAAACTTTATGTTATCTCTTGATGTTCACTCTGAAAGATCTCACTCGGATGAAAGAACATCAAGAATTGATCACGTAATATACCTCAAAATCAAATAAAATTACACACTGTTACACACTTCAGTGAATTGATGGTGTAATTCAAAACATTATAATTTTAAATATCAAATTTTAAAGATAAACTTTTACTCAAATCTAAAGGGAAAATATATCGAGATTAAGAATTGCATAAAACTATATCCTTAACATTTTAAAAATGAAATCTAATGTAGATTAATTTTTTTTAAAAGCTCAAACACTAAGAATCCATCACTTTAGAATCTTTTGGTATGAGGTTTACAACAAAATATTGAAATTGGATTTTGGAAAGTAGAATTAGATTGCAAAGGGGCAAGGTCTGCATATCAATCTCAAATTCCAAAAAAAAAAGTATAAAAAAGAGTAATTTCAAATTTGCCCTATGATGAAAATTATTCTATACCATTAAAGTGTGTGACATATCACTTTTGGAAATTTCTTAACACTCCATTTGGAAATTTATTATCACTCTATTCTATTACATTCTCTTTTAGTCTCAAAAGTAGAATTTGATTACAAAGGGGCAAGATGTGCATATTAATCTCAAATCCAAAAAAAAGCATAAAAAAATTAATTTCAAATTTCATCCTACGCCTAATACTCTATATGTTAATTGTTCAGTACAATTGAAGTGTCTAACATATCACTTTTGGAAATTTCTTGACGATCCCTTCGGAAATTCCTTATCACTCTGTCTCATTGCATTCTTTCATAACCTGAAAATGTGAAATTATGGGTGATCAGTAAACTCAACTTAATATGAACATATACTCAAAAGCCCAAATCCATGTATGTTATAAACTTCGAAATACATCTAAAATTATTAGTTCAAATACGGAGAACCCAACTTTTTGTAAGTCAAAAATAAACTTTAATTCAATGTTTAAGGCCTCGAGATAAAAAGCCTTTTTCTTTTTAATTCCCGGTAAGAAAATTCTCCCTATTTTAATCTAATGTCTTACCCGTACTTAGCATTTTTAGCTTAATGGCCATGTGTAATTTAAATTTTATCTAAACCAAATGTCTAATATAACACAAATAAAAATTTGACACTCCCTATATCAAATTTTATTTTAAAAATTAGCTATTAATATTACTCCGTACATAAAGAAAATAATTGAAAAATAAAAAAAGGGTATCTGTTGTCCTGGGAAAAAATGAAACAAAAATGTGTATTTGTTTATCTACTAATAAACTCTATAATTTTACCCTTCGTAGACTTAACAAAATGATTGTCAGCAGTATAAATTGTTGACAATCTAAGGAATAAGAGGTTGGTTCTAAAGCCACTGAAATCCAGTGGCTACCCCCCTACGGAACTCCATTCATGAAATTGATGATTCTTACCCCCCCTAACCCCAAGTAAACCCACCCGCCAAGTCTTGACCCAAACTACTCCCCTCACCTACGTCAATTGCACCTCGCAAGTATAAGTCAAAAATTTTGACTTTAAAGTCAATTATACTTACAAGGTGCACTTGACGTTAGTGGGGGAGTAGTTTGGGTCGAGACTTAGCGGGGGGGTTTACTAGGGGGTTAGGGGGTAGGAATCATCAATTTCATGAACGTAGCTCCGTAGGGGAACAGTGGCTTCCGTAGCCGAAGCCACTAGATTCCAGTAGCTCTAGAATTGGCCTCAAGGAATAAACTCTTTAATTTTTTTTAAAGCTAGGGTGCTTTGTTTATTCATTCATTGCTTCATCAAAATCAAATGTATAGAGGGAAATATTTATAACCTCTTCCACAGCAACAATATTAACAAACACAAAATGCCTCATTTTATTCTTGTGAATTTAGATTTTGGAATTAATAAACTCTAGACTCATCTGAATCAATTCAAATACCTCATTTTACTCTTGAGAACTACTAAACCTTAACTCTTGAGAACTACTAAACCTTAACCTTCTTTCATTTTACTCATAATACTCGAGGCTTTGTAACCAACTGTTTTGAGTATTTTCCATCTATCATTTTAAAAAATTACTGCTCACAGTTTGCTTCATTAGTGGATCACAGAACTTAGCTGTCCTTGAAGTCAATAAGTTTCTTCTCCTTGTCATAGTTAAGCAACACAATCATTTGGCAATGATAAAGCATCACCTGCAACATGGGTGATGAATGTCTAAAATGGAAGAACTAAGATGATGTACATGATCCCATACAGTACGAAATTAAAAAAAAATCTAAGATGTATGTCATGAGGCCCACAACCCACTCATAGTACTTATATCAATGGTAGGGAAAATATTATGAAACATGAAAGCACAATCTTTAACAATTAACTTAAAAGATTAACATTTAAACAAATGATAATAAAAGAATGACTTGATCCATGCTACAATTTCACATCTTTGTTGCTTAATTCACAGTGTTTTTTAATACGAATTAAAAAGAGTCAAATCAGCATTATTTTGGTTCATCTCAAGTTAAAAATATCATCTCAAAAACAAATTGAAGGAAATCAAACTACGGAAGTCTAAAAAATCCAAAAAGTATTGAAGTCATATTATATCATGGTAAGTGTTTGAATTTGTTTGAATATAAGCTCTTAAGTTTACCCCGAATTTAAAAGGAATAAGTCTATTTTTTAAAATTAACTTCTTTGATTCAATCATATTCAGTCGATAAATCAAGAATTGAACCATAAAAAAATTTAGGTGAGAATAAATAGAGAAATAGAGGTGTATAGTAAGTATGTAGCTGCCAAAAGAGCCATAACTTAACAATCTAAGATTAGGATGGGTGACTATGATATTCTAGTTATTAATGTTTGGGATTAGACTAACTTACTTAACATCAATCAAATTCTGTAAGTCATAAGTCATAACCCAAAAATTAGCCCGAGATACTAAAATCAATGTTTAAACTTGGTTTGAGTATTATCTCTAAATTTAAACTTAAATTTGAAAGGAATAAAGCAGTTTTTTTTAATTCCAGTTTTTTTATTCAAAAGCATAAATGCAGTATAACAGAATTTGAATCATTTAAAATAATGATTAAAATTAAACAGAAAAATAGAGGCACACGTACCCCGAGTTGTAATTGTTGTCCGACACGGTGTTGGTAATCACCAAACCATAGGTGAGCAACAGTGCAATGAGTTGTTGTTCTTTGGTGAACTAAAACAAAAAGAAAATAAGAACTATGAATATCAAATAGAGTTAGTTCGAAGTGGATTTTGTTCTCTCTATTGTTATACTTGCATTTATTTAAGCCTCAATCTAATCTAATTGCATAGAAAGCAAAAAGGAGTTCGCTCAACCTAACCGTATACAAAGCATCAAGCCACGGGATCCATACAATTTTGAGGTGTTTCTTTTACATCCCGTGGCTCTTGGAGCAAGATTTCCTTTCTCAGGTGCAGTTTATTTTTTCCTTTGTGTGCGTTCATTTGAGTGACATTTGCTGATATGGCTAGGCATGGCAAGATTGTGAATGCTCTTAACATACAAAGGGTGGAGATGTGAAGTGGCAGGTGACACTAAATACCAGTGTCAATACTAGGGTAGGTACAACACAAACGGGAATTGGGAATAATAAGCAGTAGACCTAATTAAATTCATTTTCATAAAATTTTAGATTGAACAATAGTCCCACCATTTAACATACTTCCTCCGTCCTGAAACTTTCTTCCCAGAGCACTATTCCAACTTCACGGGAATTTATATTTATTTGTGTTTTTTCATGGCCTATATGATAAAATAAAATATTCTTGTCACCACTTGTTTTGTTGAACTTTTGATGTAGTTTCTAAATATGTATGTTTTATTTTTTATTTCTATACCAATATTTAAATAAAATAGATTGAAAAAACTTGGAATTTTTCTTCGTTTTGTGGAACGGGAAGAAAGATATAGGACGGAGGGAGTATTTCTCAGTCCCATCTATCGTAGGATCCTATTATTTTAATGCATGAGGAAAACCGACAAATAAACTACCGGGTAAAACACACCCAATTGTGGGAGACCTTATTTGTTTGGGGGCATCTTAGGAATACACCAAAATAGAGTACTCTATTCGTACACTATGTAAACACAGACAAACACATATATTTAGTGTTTGTGATACACGGACACTAAGTGTGACGTGTTTATATGTTTGACCGATGTACAAATGAAATACCACATTTTGGTGTATCCCTAAGTTTATTTTATTTTCTTAATTGTAGATATCATCTTTTTCCAGGTTTATTTTTTTAGATTCTATCTCTAATTATCATTGAAAAAATTTATCAATTAGGATATATAAAAAGAATTATAGGATAATAAGTAGTACTCCATAGTAAATTTCTATTGATAGGAGTATTTATTTTAATATTAGGAATTTGTAATCATTTTTTAAAACCAAATTTTATGTGGTAATTTTTGCTTGATATTCATTTTTAAATACATGGTTTCTTAATAAGTTTTCCTAGCTTAATTTCTGTAATTAATTTTTTATAGTCAATGACATTTTTTTCCACATTGTATTGGTACTCCCTCCGTAACTAAAGGAGTCACATGCAATAGTTTACGAATTTTGAATGAAATTATTTTGAATTTAATTTATTTGAAAACTAGCAAAGAATTAATAAATAAAATTTAACATAAAAAATTTATAAAATAATAGATGACAAAATTATAGTATTATTTTTTAAGTGGGTCACGAAAATAATTCAAGAGAATGATTAAACTCTGATTTATTAAATAGTTTACATTCAACTTAAATTGAGACAAAGAGACTAACAAATATAATGGAGTTATTGGAGTCCCAATATTTCTTTTGCACAGCGCCCTTGTAGAGCTCTAGAGACTCAGGACCGGTCCAGTACCCAAAATCTAATAAGTCAAAAAGTTATTTAAAATGTAAGGTGGACAAAATAAAATATTTCTGAAAGAAAGAACACTTGCAAAAAAAGAGATGATTTTTAGTCTCCATGTCTTGTACTCCGTATTTTCTTTATCACACAAAACACAAATAGGATCCACATGACAGAGTCTGCAAATTCTATATCACATTCTCTCACTCACCCTAGAGCAGCTGTAATAGGGCTCCCCAGGTACCTGATTGGTAGGTAGGTAGAGTTCCCAGTTCCATATTAGTTTTCCTCAGTATTCTATCTTGTACTTTGCAGGGTTCACTTGTAGGCCAGTAGCATTGCCAAAATTTCCAAAGCCTTCATAATACAATCCACAGATTTATCATCATCAGCCCTGCAAACAAACAATTATAAGATCATCTGCAAAATTGAGATTAACAATCTTAGGAGATTTACACATTGGGTGGAATCTGAAATCTCCATAATGCTGAATTAATCTGGTCAACTACTCCATAATTAACACAAAAAGAAGAGGGGACCCAAGACTTAACTTGAAGAATCTTTTTTTTTTCTCCGTTAAGTTGAATAGAGAGAGAAGGATGTGGTTTGGATGCAGTATGCCACCCAAGACACAAACTGGGTAGGAAAATTTGGTAGCTCCATGATTTGAATGATTGTTTTCCAACTCATAGTATCATTCGCTTTTCTTAAATCCAATTTCAACATACATCTGGGGGTAGCATATTTCCTATGGTATCATCTAGCCAGTTCATAGCATAGTAAAACATTATGAACTAACTCGCTCCCACGAATAAAAGCACCCTGATTTTGATTGACAATGTCAGGGAGGATCATCTTAAGTCCGTTGCAAATAATCATAGATATAACTTTGTATATCATGTTGCAACAGGAGATGGATCATCTCAAGTCCGTTACAAATAATCTTAGATATAATCTTAAAATTTTGGCAAAGTTGATACACGGGCCTACCTTGGATCGCCTTATTCCAAACGTTCTCAACAATCTTAGCAAAAGAACCATCAATTTTGCACGTGTCACAAAACCCGAAGCTTCTATTACTTTGGTACAAAGCTTGAGTAATAATAAGAAGAGGGAGGGGTATGATCGATCAGATAGCCCCTCTTCTTTCACCAACACCTTAGTGCTAAACCGAATCATCCATTCTGCATTGCAAAAAACCCAATCAATCTTTGAGTAGATTCTTATTCCCTGACACTGTCTATTGGACCATGTGAAGTAATAGGATCCCTTCAATGGCATGCATGTCCTCCAACCCACTATCAAAGGTGCATTGTTTAAAGTTACTTATTTCTAAGGTGATAGGGAGTCCCCCCATCCTGTCTTCAAACCTTAAAAACATTATTAAAGTCTCTTGCAAGCAACCAACCAGGCCCCTTGGATCTTCTCCGCAATCTTTCTGGTGTCTGACCAACTCCCTCCTTTTGTATGCCTCATTATGTCCATACCCAAAGGAGATTTCAAACTTATTGTTATCCATAGCCCTTACCACCTTACAGCGGATAGGGGATCCCAATGAACTCAAATTCTCCCCAGGTGATGGGAGCTCTTGGGTGTAAAAAGCAGACTTCCATCAACTTCCATTCCATAACATCTTCCCTTGTCAGTTTGGCCATCAGATTACCATTCATCTCCGTACCCTGGAAACAAATTTTAATCTAAACCTAATATCATCCTTAGGAATTATCTTCTGCTTTCTGATTTACAAATTTTTATCTGTTGCACCTGTTCCAAAATACTTGTTCTAGTCTCCTATTAAATCCTATTCTCATATGTGAATTTGTTAATTATTTACTAAAATAATAAAATGTTCAACTCACATTTTGGTTTACTCCCACTGTTTCAAAATAAATTACTTGTTTATTATTCATAAAGTCAAACACTATTTACTTTTTTTTCTTATTTTCATTAGTAATTGATAAAACAATATGGTAATGTCACCACTAATTTTATACATATTTTAAAGTAGTTCTTAAATGTGTACATTGTAGTTTTTATTTTTAAATTTCATATAAACACTTTTAACAAACAATTTGAATTAAAACAGAAGGAGTATAAAATTTTTAATGTAATTTTAAAATGTGTATTTGTATCTTTGATTAAGTACTCATTAGGTTTGAAAATGAAATAATTTTTAAAAAAAAATTCGATTATTTTAAGATAGAAGTTATAAATTTGTACAGAGCAGTATTGTAACCAATAATACCTATATTGGCTTACTTTGCCTTTTCTTAATCCGAATTAAAGATACGAAATACTCTCATGTCCATATGTATCAGTATAACAAAGGTAATTAAGAGTACAATAATCGGCTGAAATTACTGATGAAAAGCTGTAATTCATTAATTGTCACTCAATAGGAAAAGGTATAGTAGAGTAACAACCCAGGCACATTCAAGTTTCAAACTCAGGCAGGGAAGACTCACAGCAATACAAAACGGAAATACTTTTGGCTTTTCAGTATATTGCCAGAAAATTATTCCTAGATATTAACAATGGTAAAAGTAAGCAATCATTCAAACGGCCAGAGCACTAGGAGCAACAATTCAATTTTCCGGAGCACTAGGAGCAACACCCCCATCTGCCAGAGCAGCACCCCCACCCGCCGGAGATTTCAAACTTATTATTTTAGGAGCAGCTCCTGGTGGTGCTCCAGCGGGCGGGGGTGCTGCTCCTGGTGCTCTGGCGCGCGGGGGTGCTGCTCTTGGTGCTTCGGCAAATTGAATTGTTGTTCCTGGTGCTCTAGCCGTTTGAATGGTTGCTTACTTTTACCACTGTTAATATCTAGGAATAATTTTCTGGCAATATACTGAAAAGCCAAAAGTATTTCCTGTTTTGTATTGCTGTGAGTCTTCCCTGCCTGAGTTTGAAACTTGAATGTCCCTGGGTTGTTACTCTACTCTACCTTTTACAATTGAGTGGCAATTAATGAATTAAAGCTTTTCATCAATAATTTCAACCGATTATTATAATTACCTCTATTATACCAATACATACGCGGACTTGGGAGTATTTCGTATCTTTAATTCGGATTAAGAAAAGGTAAAGTAAGCCAATATAGGTATTATTGGTTACAATACTGCTCCGTTCAAATTTATAACTTCTATCCTAAAATAATCGAATTTTTCTTTTAAAATTATTTCATTTTCAAACTAACTTGAGTACTTAATCAAAGATACAAATACACATTTTAAAATTACATTAAAAATTTTATACTCTTTCTGTTTTAATTCAAATTGTTTGTTAAAAGTGTTTTGTATGAAATTTAAAAATAAAAATTACAATGTACATATTTAAGAACTACTTTAAAATATGGATGAGATTAGTGGCGATATTATCATATTGTTTTATCAATTACTAATGAAAATAAGAAAAAAAAAAGTAAATAGTGTTTGACTTTATGAATAATAAACAAGTACAATTTATTTTGAAACAGTGGGAGTAAACCAAAATGTGAGTTGAACATTTTATTATTTTAGTAAATAATTAACAAATTCACATATGAGAATAAGATTTAATAGGAGACTAGAACAAGTATTTTGGAACAGGTGCAGCAGATAAAAATTTGTAAATCAGAAAGTAGAAGATAATTCCTATGCTGAAGTTGTAAGCAATAAAGATGATATTGAGTTTAAATTAAAATTTGTTTCCAGGGCACGGAGATGATTGGTAATCTGATGGCCAAACTGACAAGGGAAGATGTTATGGAATGTAACTTGATGGAAGTCTGCTTTTTATACCCAAGAGCACCCACCACTTGGGGAGAATTTGGGTTCATTGGGATCCCCTATCCACTGTAAGGTGGTAAGGGCTATGGATAACAATAAGTTTGAAATCTCCTTTGGGTATGGACATAATGAGGCATACATTATATAAATTTTAATTACATCTCAGTTGTCTTATAAATTGATTAACAATAATTTTATCAAACATCATTAACAATAACAGATCATATAAAATAGGTCGCAAGGAATAGTACAAGTCATAGCCTTAACTAGTCAGGACCCGTAATTAGTGAATTTTATAATTACGGATCGTTCTCTATCAAGATTCAATCACGTGAAGAACATTTCTCATTAGGACTAAAACACAATGACTTTTTCAATATAAGACCATATATTCTTATTTCGTAATGTAGGAGCATTAGTCATTATCTATTAGTCATTATTCAACTAAATGTCTAGCATCACTTAAACATTATTTTTCTCACTAGTCATTATTAAGTTCTATTTAGGAAATACAAATATTTAAGCCTTACATTGGGAAATGACTTATGTTTTAGTTCTATTCAGTGCAAATTTCACTATTATTTATCCAATTTATAATTTTTGAAATAAAAAAAGTTTTCAAAAAATTATTTCATTTCATTAATATGTACTGTAAATTTAATATAATTATTCACTAAAAATTGTTCAATTAATAGTTTAGAATGAAAGTGATGACAAAAAAAATAGTAATGAAAGAGTAAAAAAATAGGAGAATTATCAATAAATTAAGTACGAGTACAAAATAAGATTGAATATTCGGGTTACAGAGTAGTTCATTTTGTTCAACTATTGGACAACCAGAGTCGGAGAGAGTGTATATATATCCGGTGGAGCTACGATTAATTCCTCATAAATGAAACCCAAAGCTCAAAAACTTAGTTCTATCTGTAAAACTCAAAAGGGAAGCTTTATCTTTCCAAAACCCCAAAAAAATCTTTCTTTTTTGTTCTGAAAATCCCCAAAGCTACCTTTGTTTTGCCTAAGAAACTTCTGATCGTGAAGACCTTTAGGAGGCCTGTTTTGAGAGTGCTTGAGAGCCTCTTTCATGTTTGCAGTAGAGATGGATATTCAAATTTGAAAATTTGGCGTTAGAAAGTTTTCCCGAAGTATTTATAGGGGGGAGAAGCTGATTGGGGGAGAGGAAATCAAATGGAGGAGGTATGGATTGATGACTGGGCTGATTTACAACCATTGATAACCGGTTGAAATTGGGGAAATCTAACGGCTATGAGGAGGTCGAACTAAGAGAGATGGTCAATTTACAACCCTTGATAACGGAACTTTAAAAACACATGATCAACGGTTGTGATTTACGTCAGGCAAAGGGGGGAGAGTAATGACGTGTCACATATGGCGGGTCACAAATTTAACCCGTTTTGTGACGGATCGGGTTTGTTGGGGATTTGGGCCGGGTAGAACAAGTGGGCTGACCAGACCCGATATTGACTTTATTATTGGCCCTTTCACGGATCCGGCGGTTACCGGCAACTCACCGGGAAATCAAGAAGAAGAAGAAGAAGAAGAAAGTCGGCCGGAAATCAAGAAAAGAAGAAGAAGAGCAACCGAGGCAAGAATCATACCTGAGCGGGAACATCTAGACCTGGCATAGAGCTGCCGGAAATCTTCAGATTCCCTGGCCGGCATAATCTTCCGGTAACCAACCGCCGCTTCTGTATATTAAACCGAAACAAAGATCTGGCCGAAACCGTCGGTTTCCCATGGTCAAAAGATAAGAACTCTTTGTCCAGCTTCAAGAAAATAAAGAGTCGGTGAAGCTTCAAGAAAATAAAAGAGACTGGAGCAAGCTTCAGCAAAAGAAAGAGAGGAAGGAGATTATTCGAAGCTCCAAGAAAACAAAAGAAACGAGATTATAAAAAAGCACGCAAGTAAAGATTTAGAATGAAACATATTTCAACCAATTGAAACAGGTTCAGTCATAGAGTGTGGCAAGTGAGAGGAGAGACAAGTCTTACAATAATGGCAAGTCATTACTTTTTTTATTTTTTAAATTTTTTTGATGTAATTAACTAATAAAATTTAGTTTTCTCATCTCTTTTTACATACAAATAGTACGTATTTCTATTACATTCATAGAAAAAACTTTGTTTATATAAAAATAGAAATTGAAACTAAAAATAAAAAATATTTCATATTGGATAATCAAATTAAAAAATTAAAAAATCATAATACAAATTAAACAAAATAAATCAAAAACAAGAAAAGAAGATTGGGTAATTACCCCCCTATATGCGTTCTTCGTCCCTGTCACTGCTGCATCTATCAGCCACTGGAAGACTCCTTCGCCGGTCACCATCCTAATTTATTTCAATGCCTTCAAAAGTTAAAAAAAAAGAAAAGAAAAAACAAAAGAAAAGTTGTTCCATGCCTCGGCAATGACTCGCAAGGAGAGTCCAAAGGCAATTGACACGCGAGGAGAAATAATTGTGGTGCTGATGTGGCAGTGCGTGGATGCTATTTGCCTCGCCATTGCCACTACTCTAAGTGTGAGGGAGAGAGAGAGGACATTCGTTGTGAAGAAGGAGAGGAAGGCGATTAAAGTAGATGGATGGACGGCATTTGATGCTCTGAAAAGTCTTATCGTAATTATGAAGCCCCACTGGCCCCGAGCTTTGAGATCCACGTCCAAACGGCCCAAATTCACCTAAAATTATACTCCCCGTCCCAAAATATTTGCCACATTGTATTCCCGAGATAAAATATCAAACTTTTTAAATTCATTTTTTTTACATATTGGTATAGAAATAAAAAGTAAAATTTACATATCAAAAAACTACATTAAAAGTTCTTCGAAATGAGAGGCGTGAAGAATATTTTATTTGATCAAATAACCAATGAAAACGTAGAAATAAACAAAAGTTCCCGCGACTGCTGAAAAAGCATACGTTGCAAATAATTTTGGACGGGGGAGTACTCCGTACAGTAAAAAATACCGCCCGTCCCTTTATTTCTCATTTCCATAACGTATAAAAAAATCTCTTTCCTTAATTACTTTACTCATAAATTAATACGGAGTATATTCCTACAAGAATAGAAATTATATTACTTGGGGTATTTAAAATTTATCAAAAATTTTACAAAATAAGATTTTTGAACACTGAAAATACGTATGAATCCAGGCTTCAAATTGGGCTGCATGTGAAATGGTATCCAACCTTCAGATGATCGCAAAGATTGCTGCTCTGTGCAATGATTAATAGTGTTGAAGAATATGGGCTGCATTATGTTGCTACTGGGTTGCCAACCGAGGCAGTATCAAAGTTAAACTAATGCACTCATCCCTTTCATTCTTGGATTGATTTCGAATTTTATGCTTTCGTTTATAAGGACTAGCATGTACTTTCAATAGTTCCCACTATGTTCGTAGTCCATATCGACATAGAGCCATCGTGGTGCGTACCATATTTAGCTAGCATTTATTAAGACTTTTATAACATGGTGTTCACATCATGTTTTTGCCCTGTGGCGTGATAATGAACCCTTATCATGTTTGATACTTTCTTTTTTTCCTTGTCGAAGGTGACTTTATCCTTATCATGGGCTTCTGTATTTGATTCAGATTCTGGTTGAGAAGAGGGGGGTACCTGGTGGCCCAGATTCTAGTTCTTCTAAACGTCATGTTGATGCCCCACGTAAGTATAAGTTTTGTTTTGGTTTAACATTTCTGGGGTGGCTTATAATTGATATTTCCATGTTGGAACTAACTGAATGTGTTTAATGTATTTCTGAAGCTAAAGAAATGACAGTCAAAACCCTTGCATTCCACCCGTATTATTTGATGGGTAATTTACCTAAACAAGACTAAAACATAATGACTTAAATGTGAGAACAATAATGTTTTATTCGTCGTCCTAAATGTGTTTGGTTTTTGTTGTTTGACACAGGATGACACGAACCAAGTAGATTTATATTCCGGGGGAATCACCAGAATATTATTGTCGTCGATGGTTTACGTGTGGATGGGAAGGCGGAGATGAGCCACGCTCAGTCAACGGCGGCGCTAGATGGATGAACTAGTTAGTGCAGAGAGAAGCAAATGTGAGAACTTCTCAAAAAAAATTATTTTAAACTATATGTAGCTTCAAAAAAAAATTGAACTGAATGTTTTTAATATATTATTTTAATTACAAAAAAAATTCTAGGGGGGGGGGGCACCAAAGCTCTACCTATTCTATTTATTCTGCTGCCAAAAGCCTTTCGTGTGTGAGATGCAGGTGATTGGTTCTTGTGTGGGTCTTGCAACATTTGGAACCATCATCATATGGTTCACTCATCATTCTTTTCTTGGAATCATAAAGGGCCAATTCACATTACTAATTTGATTTCAATATTCGAATTATTATTATGGAGTTATTTTTATTTTTTTTTACAATCACATCCATTTTTTAATCATGTGATCATAATTATCACGGTGCCAAGTCGAGGTGTGGCATTGGGGTAGGGTACCGTTTGGATGCCTAGCTGACTAGGCGACCGCCTAGGTGATACACAATACTCCCTCCGTCTGAAAATATTCTTCCCATTTGACTTTTCTTGGTCAAAGATTGTAAACTTTGACTATAATATGTGGAAAAAATACATTGTATTATGATATAACTTTAATATGAATATATTCATTTTGAAATATAGTTTTCAAATATCAAATTTTTATTAAATATATCCATGTATAAATAAAGATATTAGTGGTCAAAGTGACATCTTGGAGACCGTAAAATATCAAATGAGAAGAACATTTTCGGACGGAAGAAGTATAAGAGAATTGCTATACATTTAAAAAACTAATATAGATATATCAAATTGTATATAGTAGTGGGTAAAGTTTAAGTTTTTCTAATTCATCAAAGTTTAACTACCAAAGTTACTTTTAAGCACTCCTTAAAAAAACAATATTGAAAAAAAGTGTTACCGACTTAAGTTGGTAATAAATTAATGATTTAAAAGTAAAAAACTGAATCACCGAGTATTAATTAATTAGGAAGATAAAGTGGAAAAAAACATATTAACTTGCAAATAATATAATTTGTAAAGCATTAGAAAAACAAAGCACTAGAGCCGGGGACTTAAAAAAACTAAAGCACTAGAGTAAGAAACACAAAAGTACTTTGACTAGGCGAGGTCAAGGTGACGCCTAGGTAAGGTAGGTATGCAAATAAGGCGATGCGAGCTCCCATGGCGAGAGGGTAGAAGGGCGTCTCGATGCCTAGGCGATGCTTTGTCTTCATTACTTCATTACTTCAAGGCTATAAGCTTGTAGAAAAAAGTGAAATTTGCACTGAATAAGATTAAAACATAAGTCATTTTTCAATGTAGGACTTAAACTTTTTTATTCTCTAAATAGAACTTAATAATGACCAGTGAGAAAAATAATGTCCAAGTGATGCTGGACATTTAGTTGAATAATGACTAATAGATAATGATCAATGGTCCTAAATTAGAAAATAAAAACATATAGTCATAAATTGAGAAAGTCATTATGTTTTAGTCCTATTTAGGTAAATTACACATAGATGTTTGCTTAGGGGCAGTTCTCTTAATTCAGTCAATAGCATAGATTGCATATGAGCTAGTAATTTTAAAAGTAATCCCATTACCTCTGAAAATGAGGGAATGGTAGATGATCAAATCCACATACCATTTCTCTCTTGTATCAATCCATAGTGTTTTGGTGTTCCAATTTATATTTATTTTGAATTTGTTTCTCCAAAATTGACCCCGAATACATCCAATTATACGTGCATAGAGGAAAGAAAGGCCAAAGATGGTGTTAATTACGTAGTCCATTTTTATCCCAAGCGCAGTCCGATAGAACAAAATTACGTAGTCGGATAAAATTTTAGGACCTAGTTAATGAATTTAAAAATATGGTTCATTTTCATCCAATTCGGATAAAATTTTGGAACATCATATTTTTAAATTTATTATTAATTTTGAAGCATAAGTATTCTAAAATAATAAAATAATAGACAAAATGTAAGTTTTGGACATGTCCAATTTCATTTTTTTCATGTTTTTTAAACTTTGTATCCAACCAATGGGCAACACTATTTTATGGCGGAGGTACTTTGGTATTCGAATCATTCAAATTATTCTATATAAATCAATCACGCCTCTTAGTATTCAGATTCAACTAAGGTTTTTATCTAAAATTACATTCGGACTCAATTTAGTCGGATAAAAATTATCTTTTTCGAACATGAATCAAGAATCAAATTAATTATATTTCATTTGGGTATATTCATAAATGATTGATGATCCATTTGCCTAGATGGATGACTAATGCAAAACTAAAGAGGCCCAAACCCCAACCCAAATAAACTCCAAGGTATTGAAGACCGGATCCAAGAAGCTCCGGTTTATTTCGTGTCTCGGGTTACTCTGAATTCAAATCAAACAATGTACCCATAGCTAGAGGGTGGGAGAGAATTATGTTTAAATTGGGCTGGTACTACTTATTGGGCCAAATTTTGGAGAGGGGATATGTTCCGAATGGGATTAATTAGGGATGTAGCAAAGCCACCTTAGTTTACGTCTCTCCAAGGGTGAGACATTATATGCATAGTCTTAGAGATTGTATGTGACAACAATATTCAAAGTTCATCTTCAACCAAAAATTATGGCAGTGGAGTTTTTTTTGTAGATCCTGAACTAACTAGATCCTTCCATTCGGAATAACAGTCATAGTACGATCCTTTTCGAGGATAGCTCTAATGTCCTCAAGGGGTTTTAGGAACTCAACCCGCTCACATCTTCTTCTCGGTGCCCCCTTTGCAAGCCAGTTAGCAGCACAATTGAGCTCCCAGGGAGTATGACTTATATTTACCCACCAATCTTTAGCAATCCATTCTTTGTAACCTTTAACAATAATACAAATACAATATTGTCCTAATGGTTCCATGTCACCATTAAGCCAATCCACTGCTTGTTGGGAGTCCGCTAAACAAGTTGAGCTTCTTTATCCCATGTTCCCAAGCCTATTTGATCCAAGTATATAACGCCCAAACTTCTCCTTCAATTGCACTGCTAGATCTCATCATGCAGCTGAAGCCCGTGACCCATAATCCTTGATCGTCCCGCAATACTCCACCACATCCCGTCACAAGGTTCTCTTCGAAGAAGGTTGCATCCGTATGCAAGGATGTCCACCCCTTTACGTAGTTGAAACTTGTGTGCTTTGTCTTTTGCACTACTTTACCAGGGGGGGGGGGTCTTGGTGCCAAAAAGCCTTCGATAGCACAATGTCTAGTAGAGTTTATATATGTGTACATGACCTTAAATGCTCTTTGAGGAAAAGTGATAGAGAATGGTGTCATTGACTATGTCGCTTCCAAAAGCACAATGGCAAAGCTAGATGAAGAGTAAACAAACAGAGATTCAATCAGAGGAGATTCAATCAAATCAAAAACCGTTATAAATACAACCACAATTAAATCATATTAGATTTCAATTAGATCTTATCAGAGTAAACAAACGGAACACAACTCTCTTGAGTTGTGTGTGAGGAAATAGTCCCGCATCTACATAAAATCTACCATTGAACTTCCGAAAATAGAAAATATGAGAAAAAATGATTAAAACTTGAACTTTGAAATGCAGACAAATAAATTTGAGATGAAGTATAAAATTAAAATGAAAGACAGGCCAAAACCAAGCGTTTTAGCATCAACTCGCATTGGGTGGGGGGAGGGGGGGGGGGGTTGGGAAAATGGCAAATAGTGCAAAAACTTGCATTCTGCAAAGAGTAATTTAATTAATTTAATAAATATGATGCGGTTTATGCCCCAATTATATAACCTAATGATCAACTCCCAACTGTTGGGTGATTTTCTTTGGGAGGAAATGTGTTTTTGTTTTCAAGTCTGCTAAATGAATCCTATCTTCTGAAAGCATTACAAATGTCTAGTGAATCCAAACAATGTCACCGGGATCTTATCAGATTTTTTATTCTGCCTTGTGCTTCTCGGGTTTCATTCCCCTTGTCCGAGCACTCATCCTCCTACCCACAAACTTGAGAACCTCGTCTATCAATATGACAGGCATTGCGACCGCCAGCACCAGCAACCACTCGTTCAGGCTAAGGGGAACGATTCCAAAGACTTGAGCTAGGAAAGGCACGTACAGGATCAAGAAGTGCAAGCCGAAGGAGACAGACATGGCCACTAGAAGCCATGGGTTGACCCAAGGGGGCATGGTCAAGAGACTTCCGTCCTCCGAAAGGGCATTCAGGGAATTGAACATCTCAATGGCAACCAGTACGGAGAGCGACAGCGTCATGGCCTTGATTTTGCCAGTCTGGAAGTAATCGCACGGATTGTCGTTGAAGCTGTAAACCTGAGACCCTGCCGTGAATGGGGAGGCGGTGAAATTCTTCCAAGAACTGCACTGCCCCCAGTTTGAGAGTTGGGAGTAGGTCACCAGGCTGTGACCATCCCCACTTAGGTCGATGCCAAGGAAAGAATGATGGGTGAACCATATAATGAAGATTCCAACTGTTGCAAGACCCACATAAGAACCAATCACCTGCATCCCAGGATTAAATGGTAAGAATACAACTCCATATAATCGGAATAGATGAAAAGACTCCATTTGGTAGCAGAATATCAAAATCAGAATTAATAGAATAGATAGCATTTGACTTATTTTTTTATGATAATAGATGTTGCCAAAAGTTTTTCTGTAAAACTGTTCACTAGATTCAACCATTTCACCCATATTACACTGCTCAACCAGCAACAAAAGTTTAAGGATGACAGGTTTTGGAACAGTATAGCGAAGGTTTTGGTCTTTTGGAGGGGTTAGTCTTTTCTTAATTGCAAAATGATTTTAAAAACCAACAAATGTTCATTGCTACACATGCATACTCTCTCCGTCCCTAATGAAGTTATCTTTCAGATTTGGTAAAATCTATTGCATGTTTGATTGAAGATAAAAAGGGAGAGAAAATTGGAGATGAGAAAACATGGAGTTCAAAGCATTCTCTTGTTTGGATGGGGAACAAATAGGAAAAGTAAAGGAAAAAGGAAAAAGTGGCAGGGCCCACATAAACACTTTTCCCTCCACATTAGGGAAGAAAATGGGACAAAGCATCATTCTATTCTTCTTTTTTTCTTTTTTCACCTTTTCTCTGCATTTTCTACTCATCCAAATTCCAAACAATAATCATTTTCTTTCCATTTTCTCTTATCTTCATTTTCTTCTCAATTTCTCTTTTTCCATTTTCTCTCCTGATCTAAACAAAGCATGAGTCTTGCTTTACTATCCTCTACAATCAATAATTATTCTCAATCACATGTTATAAGAGCAATTTTGGAAGTCAAACAACATTTAACTCATTGAGAACCACAGCAGACAAACTGTGAACTTTTATAAAAGGCGGAGAGAGAGTGTTAGTAAGTGTGGCTAGGTGGGCGAGGGGTCAAGAGATACAACAAAAAGGTACTCGCTCAGTCCCATAATAAACTTCTCATTACGCTTTAAAATGTTTGACTGGTGTTATATCCCATTCAATTTATTAAATAATTGGTGTAGAATTCAAACAAATACTCGTATATATTTAAAAACTATGGGGTACATCAAAGAAAATATTGTTTGAAGGTGAGAACAATAACTAGGAAGTTTGGGAGTATAGAGTTCAAAAAACGATTCACTAAAATTTGTAGGCATTTGATTTTTAAGTTTAAAATGAGTTCCTTTACATGGAATTGTGATGTAAAAAACCTCCCGAGTATTCCCGTATAAAACCATCCATCCAGAGTTTTAAAAAAATGCATACCAGATAGCGGAACAGTATCCAGGTATCGATGAGTGAGTCTTCACTTCTCCTGGGTGGTTTCTTCATTATATCTTTGTCTGGAGGATTGAAACCCAATGCCGTTGCCGGGGGTCCATCAGTAACCAGGTTGACCCAAAGAAGCTGGACTGGGATCAAGCCCTCGGGAATACCTAGCGCAGCTGTAAGGAAGATAGAAGCAACTTCTCCCATGTTTGATGAAATCATATACCTGCACGTAAAGAGGAAACCAGTAACAGATTTAAGATGGGCCAGGTCAAATCTCCAAAAGTAAGCAAAACAAGTCGTTGAAGAAATTAAGTATTACATTAAAATTGCAGGTCAAACCAATAATCACCAAATATTCGAACAGAACTCAGAGAAAGCAATGACCAAAAACATAGCACAAGAGAATGAAAGAAAAAGTTGCAATAAATGGACCTGATGAAGGCTTTCATGTTGTTGTAAATGGACCTGCCTTCACCAACAGCTGCCACAATTGTGCTGAAATTATCATCGGCCAAAACCATGTCGGATGCTTCCTTTGCTACCTGGTCAAAAACAGAGGATTTGGCAGTAAGACCATGAACAAACATTATTTAGGACACACTTGGATCCAACACAACTACAGATCAAGAGCAAGAATATGTACTGTTTGCATTGCATTTTCCATCAAAAAAAATCTTGCAGCAACAGGGAAACAAACTTATTACTCGAAAGTTTGTTCCAGCATAATTTTGCATGAATAGTTAGAGTGTAGGAATCATCTAAGTGTACCAGTACAGAATTGATTTGCATTTTTACCTCAGTTCCAGTAATTCCCATAGCAATCCCAATATCGGCCAGCTTTAAGGCAGGTGCATCGTTCA